CTATGTGAGGGACACTATGCTAAGCACTGGGGATACAAAAAGAGACAAGACAGTTCCTGCCCTCAAGGAGCTTACAATCTAATGAGAGAGACAACATACAAACAAGTCTATTTCCTCAATATCTCTTGAATTCATCTTATCCTATTTCCACTGTTACCATGGATTATTTTAAAACTTCCTAAAAGAAGTTTCTTTTTTTTTACATTTCAATTTATTATTTATTTATTTTTAACATTCTTTTCTTTTTAAATTCTGAGTTCTAAATTTTCTCTCTCCTTCCCACTCCCTCCTCCAACCACTGAGAAAGTAAGCAATATGACATCAATTATACATGTGAAATCATGCAAAACATATTTCCATATTAACCAGATTGCAAAAAAAGAAAGAAAGAAAGAAAGAAAAAGAAAGAAAAAAATACTTCAATTTGCATTCAGAATTCATCAGTTCTCTCTCTGGAGGTAGATAGCATTTTTTCATCACGAGTTCTTCGAAATTGTCTTGAATCATTGTATTGAATAGAGTAACCAAGTCTTCTAAATGAACTTTCTACGTTAATTAAACCTCCCTCCTCCTGTCCCAATTCATCCTCCATACTACTTCGAAAATAATCTTTCTCACACCCGCAGAGATCTGGCCATTTCTTTGCTCAAAATCTTTAATGGTTCTCTATTATCTAATCAGGTAAAGTTCAAACTCCTCTTCTTGGAATATAAGGCCCTCTCTAATATACCAGTCATCTGATACTAGTCTACTTTTCCAACTTTATTTCATGTTTATTTCCATGGACTAATTCTAGCAAACAAGATTCCTCTTTACCTCATCTCTATACACTTATCCCTTTCACATCTCTGGGGTTAGGGGCATGGTGTCCCCCCTCACCCCTGCATCGGTGATCTGGAAAATCTGTGTAAAATTTTTGGCTCTTCCTTCGTACCAGAGAAGAAGTCTGAATTGTTTCTTTTTCTTTTATCGGGTGTTTACAGTACCTTATTGTAAAATTTGGGTTAAGTATTTGGTCATAGGCTCTGTGTCGTCTCTTGGCCTCCGAATGTCGTCTGAGGTTTCTGCAAAACTCTTAAAAAATTCCCATTTTATTTCTTATGCTAACCCACGATATATGGAAACCCATGATGGGAAAAGTTGTGATGTGAAAAGTTGTGATGTGGAAGGGATAATTGTACATACTTTGAGCTCTCTCACCTATAGAACTCTATTCATATTGTTCCTTATGTCTAGAATGTCCCTCCCCCTCCATATTCATTGCATTCTTAGCTCTCCTTTAAAGATCAACTCAAGTCCTATCTCCTTCATGAAGTTATCTCTGATCCTCTCAGTTGAAATTAATTTTTTCCTTCAGACCTGAAGAAACACTTGGTTTGTTAACTTAAGCATATAGCATGTAATATTACACACTAGTTATCTGCTAAGCCATGTGGAATAGTGGTTAGAGAGCTAGCCTTGAAGCCAACAAGGACTATGTGACCCTAGACAAGGTATTTAACCTCTTATTGTTCTAGGCAATTCAGAGAAGGTGTCAACTTGCATTGGTAGAGGGCACTTCCTCACCTGGGAGTTTACCAATGAAATCACAGGTCTAGACTCCATCCCCTATAACTATAGACTGTAGGCCCTTATAACTGTACTTGGTGCCTAACCATTACTAAGATCCTTCAAGGCAAAACCTATAGCTTAACTAACTAGGCCTCCAAGGTCAGTGCTATGGAAACTGTAGGTATTTAATATACATAACACCAGTTAGGTGGGTGGGAGTTACTTGTATTTACTGTTGTTATTAATCTCCCTCTTGAGTACCAACAACATTGAGAGGAAAAAAAAAATCGAAGTGCATAGATCCTTAACCTCTGTTGTGAAACAGAAAGCATTTCTGAGGAAAAGTTGCAATGATGAGGTGTGTCACTTTCTCTAGTCTGTGTGTTTGGAGGCACATTTGGCCCCCAAAATGGTTACCACGCCCTCTAGAAGAAGTTGTACTTGGGTGGCCATCAAGATTGGTGTGTCTATCGAAATTTTCCCCAGAAAGCTGAAAAGTCAGCTCTGGAGCAGGTTGCCCAGTGTACCACTGTGCCCTGGAGATGGAAAGGACAACCTGAGACCTCTAGGCCTTTCTAATCTCCTCTTCTAGGACAGTCAGAGGACACAGGTGATCTACTGGTACAAAGAATACTGGAGGGGAAAGGGGAAAGAGAACTGGGCTCAGTCATCGGTTCAAATCACGGCTTTGCTACCGACTCACTTTGTGACAAATCATGTACCCTAGATCACAAGATTGTCATGAGGAAAGTGCTTTGTAAACATCATGATGTCCCAGAAATTTGAGCTATTCTTCTAGTCCAGGCTCTATAACTGTGAACGTATCTCTTAACTCGTCTGAGCTCCATTTTTAAAATGGACATCGTAAAAACTTCCCTTGCCTTACATAAGAAGCTGTTGTGAAGACAAGCTAAGATAAAGCACCTGAAAATGTTTGGGAAAAGTTCTAAATATCACATACGTATGATGATTATTATTATAACAGGAACCAGGCAATGTTGCAAGTTAACAATGTTCTAAGTTGGTAGGGTACAGAGCCAATTCATAGCAAGACTTAGGCAGGGAAAATTGTTTCTAGTAATTGACTCCTTGGGGAAGCGAGGTGGTATGGTAGAGACTGGAGTCAGGAAAACTTGAATTCAAATTCTACCTCAGACACAGACTAGCTGGGTGAACTGGGGCAAGTCATTTAACTCCATTTGCCTCAATTTCTTCATCTTTAAAATGAGCTGGAGAAGGAAATGGCAAACCACTCCAGTATCTTTGCCAAGAAAACCCCAAATGGAGTCACAAAGAGTCAGATACAACTGAAAACTACTAAACAACAAAAATTGGCCCCTCACCCAGTGCCCTTATGTCGGCCCATAGGAACCCAGAGCCCCTCACTCTGTTTTCCTATTCAATTCCATTGTACCTGGAAGTTTCTAAGAACAAGACCTTTTTTGTCCATCAAAATTGATCCATTGTTTGTCCCATGTCTTCAGTATCCTATTATCTGCTACTAATGAAGACACCAATAACAATTAACAATTGATAAAGGGGTCACTGTGTCATACAGTCCTGGGCAACATAAGGGCATTTCAATAAAGGTCTTGGGAAGCAAAGGTTTACTCCAAAAAGTTATGATGGAATTCCAGACTCAGCAGGACCAATGTTTGAGGAGATTCTTTCGGGCAGTGTGACTTCTCCAGTGCCCCTCAAAGTAGGCAAACAAATGTCTGCTCTGCCAATGGGTAGAGAAGGCAATTAAAGAATTACTATAATTGCTGTCAGGAAGCTCTTAGTCTGATAAGATTAAGGCCTAACATAAGGAGAAAAAAATAGAGGAGTTGTCCCCACTTACCTGTGCCATGATATATCTAGAGAAAGGGACAAAGACTATTTTATATTTATTCCAAAGCAACACAACCTAGAAGTAAATTTTGCTTCTACCTCCCGGGGTATTGTGAGGCATAAATGAATTGATGCATGTAAAGTTCTTCAAAAACCTTAAGGAGACATATAAATCTAAACTATTATTATCATATGTAAGCTATTATTATTATTATTACAAAACCAACCCCCTCTGCTATCACTACAGAGAAATGCTGTGCCCATTGAGCTTTGAATCCCAAAATGGATTCTCTTCCTATGGGCCTTAAGTATAAGGCTTGGTGATGAAAACTTCTAAAAACCCTAAGAAAACATTAATCAGCTTTTTCTCCCTCTGTCCAAAAAAGAGGAACCAGCTTGAAGAACCTGGGTGATCCTTTACGTTGTGGCAAAAAAATGTTGGTTAACGATTTCCCTATCTCCAATATCTCTCCACTTTAATGCTTCCCTCATATCACCCCTGCCTCAAACATCATTTTCATTCTGTCTCCTCTATTGTTTAAAAACTTTCCCTGACTCCCTTTTGCACAAAGTCTAAACTCTTCATTCTGGCATTTGAAGCCTTCCAGAATCAGGCCCCAGTCTACCTTTTCAGCCTTATCTGCCAACACTCCCCAGCCCATATATTCTACTCTAGCCAGAATTGTTTCCTGACTACTCTCATATATGCGCCTTGTTCTTTCCTGCCCCCTTACCCTTACTGGAACTGTTCATCCTGCCTGAAATTTGTTCTCTTCTTTCTCCTTTCCTCTTCTTTCCTTCCCACCTCTTCAAGTTCTAACATTTCACATTTGTATATGTTTTTCACAAATGTGAAAATTTGTTTTGTTTGACTAGGAAGGAAGAAAACAAGGATTTATTAAGTGCCCTGCTATGTGACAGACACTATGCTATGTGCTTTACAAATATGACCTCATTTGATCCTCACAACAACCCTTTAAGATAGGTACTATTATTATCTACATTTTATAGAAGAGGAAACTGAGGCAGACAGAGGTTAAGTCACTTTCCTAGGGAAACTTTAGTGTCTACTTCAGGACCGAGCTCTATTCACTGCACAACCTAGCTGCCTTTTGTAGACTATACATGTTTGATAAAAGGGCTTACTTTTTTGTTTTTAAATTCCAATGGGGGATGGTAAGGAAGGTAAGGGGGAATAGGAATAGGACAGCAAAAAAAAAAAAAAAGAAAAAAAGAAAGAAAAGAAAAGGAAAGAAAAGGACATTAACCTATCTTTTTTTTTTAATGTAGAAAAGAGAACAGAAGTAAAACCAGAAAGAAGCACAGACATGCAGGACTGCTTTGAAAGCTATTGGATTAAACTTATTAAATACTTAAAAAAGAAAAGGAAGCTAAACCTATTAAAGAGCTGAAGTTTCTTGTACAATCCTCTTTCTGTTCTATTAGGTATATGGAAATGACTGTTTTATTTGGTATTGGTTAAGTTCAGAATAAAAATAATTTTTTAAAAAGTTCTATTGGTCTTGAAAGATGCAGTCTAAATCTTACTTCCACCATGAAGCCTTCTTTCCAGTCCACATTAATCTGCCTTTTTTGTTTTGTTTTGTTTTAACCAGCTTCCTGGTTTCTTCTTTGCCTATAACCAACAAAAGACAAGCAGTATCTTAAAATCTAACTGGGAGACTGTTCCATAGGCTGCTTCTGGGCCCCCACCTCAATTGACTCCTCTTACTAGTCCATCATCTTCACATGGAATGATATGTAACTGATAAATTATGAAAAAAAAGGAACCTGATGGTTTTATGAAATGTGAGATGGCCTCAAGGCAACCCGAGAGACTCAGTCTAATTCTAGCAGAGACTTGCACTCTGTCTGGCCTGCTTTGTGCAAGTTATATTGATATAATAAGACTCCGGAGAATTTGCTTGACTTCTAATATTATTCACCAGGTGAGCTAAATGAAATATAAATGTAATGAGTGTATGGTCTGTGGTAGGTAGAATAAAAATGGGAGAAAAAATTTTTTTTAATCCAGCTAATAGATCATTTCACATTTTAGTTCCCTCCTATTGACACTAGTCTGAAGCTTCAAGTCAGCTTTCTTCCTTTTTCAAGAAGGACAGGGTATGGAGTAGGTGAGGTCCAGGGGATGGCACTATAAACTTCAGTTTGCCTAGGTCAGAGGCAAACTGAAGCTTTCTAGCACAATATGCTTTGTATATAGATGATGCTTGAAAAACATTTATTACATTAAGCAGTTGGGGCCCTGTCATCATAAGATCATGGGCAGCTAGGTGGCACAATAGAGTGCCAGGCGTGGAGTCAGGAAGACACACCTTAATGAGTTCAAATCTGGCCTTAGACACTTACTAGCTGTGTGACCCTGGGCAAGTCATTTAATCCTGTTTGCCTCAGTTTCCTCATCTGTAAAATGAACTGCAGAAGAAAATGGCAAACCACTCCAGTATCTCTGCCCAAAAAACCCCAAATGGAGCCATAAAGAATTGGACATGACTGAAACAACTCAGAACAACAAAAACAAAATCATAGGACCATGGTATTTAGAACTGGAAAAGAAGGCCCAGATTCGAGCCCTGATTTTTCTACTAATTAGCTGTATGGTCTTGGACAAGTCACTTCACTTCATTTTCCTTACCTGTTCAATATTGGAAAGGAGTAAAATTTTCCCTATCTATTCCCTAGGGTTGCCTGACGTGGAAAACTATTGATCCTCCAGGACTGATAGCATTTCTTCCAGAGGACGTGGTAACCTGGCGTTGTGAGGGTGAAAGGAGATCTCACAGAAAAGCAAAGCCTTTGTACAAATGCAAGGGTAAAAACTGTTTCTGTGTTTGTATCCTCAGCATTCAGAATAGTTCAGTGCACATAATGGATTCTTGTTAAATGTTTGCTGAATTACTATTACATTGGACCTACACTTTAATCCACCTCCTAAAGAGAAGTGATGGACTTCGGATACAAAATGAGACATGCATTTTTGGACACCACCAAGGAGGGAATTTCAGGAGAAAGAAATGGCAAAGCACTGCTGTATCTTTGCCAAGAAACTCCAAATGGGTTCCCAAAGAGTCAGGCTTGACAAAACAACTGAACAACAACAAGGAGGAAATTTACTTTGCTTGACTAGACATATTTGTTGTAAGGGTTTTTCTTTTTTCTTCCTCCCTCCCTCCCTCCTTTACTTCTTCCCTCCCTCCCTTCCTTTCTTCCTTCTTTCTTTACTGCTTCCCTCTCTGTTGCTGTCTTCTTTTTTTCTCTTTCTCTTTCTTTTCCTTCTTTCCCTTTTAATTGTGGGAAAGAATAAATACCTGTTAATGAATGAAGAATTTTTTAATGTTTGTTGAATTTAATTGAATTATTCATTAGGGGCCAGTTCAACGTCTAAACTCAGTCATTCAGTCAAATGAGGCCATCTCCACTCTATATCCTTCAATTGGGGAGAGCAAGATAGTTTATCTCATTTTATGAGGCTGTCAAGGCCCATAGGGTTACAGGGTTACAGTTTACCACAACCATAGCAGGACATTAACTTTGTCATCAGTTTCATCACCTGTACTTACCCAAGACAAGATTATGATAATTCTAATTACCCTCAAGGGTGAACTTTCATCTGAAAAATGTTCAGGTGTTAATTAGCCAAGCTTTCCAGTTCCCTCCAAAGAAGAAGACAAGGTCCCTCATCCCTTTCCACCCATATGCTTTTCTGTAGGAGAAGAAACTGGGCAGTCAGATGATTTACTAAAGGTCCTGGGTGCCACCCAGTCATTTATCTAGTAACTGAACCCCAGGCCTCAACACCAGCTTCTGTCTGTGTCTGCTAAGACAACCTGGGACCAACGTTGTGCTGGTAAATATTTAACAACTGGATGGGAGAGGGGAAGGCGGAGGGAGGATGAAATGTATGCTAGCCACACTTTTAAGTCTAATCTGTACTATTAATTTTTTTATCACTTTCTTAAATCTAGACAATTAAAACAATAAATCAAGCCCTGATTTGTAGCAGTTTAACAATGAAAATCAGAAATAGGGTTTAGCATACCACCACCTAGCCCCTACTGTATCATGGGTCTGCGATCTATAGTAGATGAGACAACAGGGCATTGGCAGGGAACAAGAGACATGTAGGCTAGGTGAGATTTTAGGCCTGGCTCTGCCCTTAACCAGACCTATGACCAGGACAAGTCATTTCACTTCTCCAGAACTCATCTTCTCTACCTCTACAATGTATATGCTCCAACTTGTCTGTATTTACTAAAATATGGTGCCCAGAATTAGATAAAGTTTTGAAAAGTATGCAGGTGTCTTTCTGTGTTTAGAGAGATTGCAATAGGAAAGAGAGTGATGCCATTTAAAAGAGTATTTTTTTTTTTTGCCTACCACCTCACACCATTGACTTACACAGACTTTTTGGTCCATTAAAACCCCCAGATTTTTTTTGCACAAAAATTGTCCTCAATCTCATACTTGTGAGGCTAATATATTTTTTGCATGTTAAGTATAGAATGAAACATTTGACTATTTTAAGTTTTATCTCATTCAATTCAGCCTATCATTCTTGCCCAACGAGATTATTTTTTGAATTCAGATCCTGTTATCCAACATATGTGATATCCTCCTCAGCTTCCTGTCACCTGAAATTTGATAGGTATGACTTCAACGTCTTCATCCGAGTCGTGTTGAAAAACGTGTTGAACAGCACAGGGTCGAGGATGGATCCCTGAGATGCTCCACAAAAGACCTTCTTCCACAGCGACATTAATGACTACTGACCACTCTTTGATCTGGCTGTCCAGTCAATAGTTCCAATTCCACTTAACTATGCCTCAATCTAGCCAAAAATCTACCTCTCCCTTTCATATTACCTTCAAGTCCTTTGCACACTTAAATCATTTGCATGTTTTCTCCTCCGTTAGAATGCAATCTTCTTAAAGGTAAAGACTGTCAGTTTTATTTTGCTATTGTTGTTTTTACCTTTCTTAAGACTACCTTAAGACTTAGCATAGTACCTGACACATTGTAGGCACTTCATAAAGGACATCTAGGTGTCACAGTGGATAGAGTTCAAAGCTTAGATTCAGGAAGACCTGAGTTCAAATCTAGCCTCAGACACTTACTAGCTGTGTGTCCCTGGGCAAGTCACCTAACCTTGTCTACCTCAGTTTCCTCATCTGTAAAATGAGCTAGAATAGGAAATGGCAAACCACTGCAGTATCTTTGCCAAGAAAGCCCCAAATTGTGTCATAAAGAATCGGACATGGGTCATAAAGAGTCAGACAAGACTCCGTAAGAACAACAGGCACTTAATAAAGGCTTGTTGACTATCTCCAACTTATCCACAAGAATAGCAAGAGGGAATCTATCACACATTTTGCCATTACTGTTTATAATAGAGATTCACAATTTCATACACAATCTTTCTGTTCTCCTGTCTATAGAAGTGCTCACTTTATTTGGTGTTCAGAATAATTTTTTAATGCTTTTTTCTTCCATAGCAATCTCTTATCTTCCAGTTTCATTACTGTGTCAAAATAAGAAATTAGGTTGATCTGACATGTACTGTTCTTGCTAAACTATGCTAACATTGACTGATCAATGATTGCCTTTCTAAACAATCTCATAATAAAGTGTTCTAGAGTTTTGTCAGAAATAGATGTCAAGGTAATTGGTCTAGAATTTGTGGACCCCATCCTCTTGCCTTTCCAGAAGAGTAGGGTATGGATACTTCTCTAGCCCGTGGTACTTCTCTTGTTCCCCAAGATCTTTTAAACATCACTAACAGAACTTTAGCAATCATGTCTGCCAGTTGATTGTGGTTTTTCCCCCCAACATTCTAGTGGACCCCATAGTCCAGTGTCCCCAAAGGCTCTGGGGTCCCTCAAACCAGGTTGATTCCAAAAGTTAATCTAACAGGGGGATTTTTTCTTCTTTTTTTGATTAGTTGTATCTACCTGAAGTTCTGCTCCAGGAAAATTTCCAAACATAGTTGAGGTACAGCTACTACATTGCTTTCCTAAAATGTGAGGAATAGGATCATTAATTAATTAGTTGATGGTATCATACGGGATCATCAGCTCTCACATTATCAATCACAGTACCAAGTGTATATTGGGTATAGGATAACCATTTTTTATATCTCACAGAAAATGTAGAAGATTTGGGAATGGCTAAACAAATTATGGTATATGAATGTAATGAAATTCTATTATGCTATAAGAAATGATGAAAGGATTTCAGAGAAAAAAAGGAAAATTTTTAGATTTTAAAAAATTAAATTTAAAAATTATGGAAGACAAAGCACTAACAGGAGCCCATAAACAGATTTTTTTTTTAAATCACGTGAAGCATTTACACAACCCATAAGCTCCTCCTAGAAGGCAATAATATTTTCGGAGTTACTAAACCAGCAATTGTCTTTCCTATTGTACCTACACTACCCAAATCTCTCACTGTGTATGGCCAGGTATAGCTTTATCAAGTCATGAGTCCTCTTCCCTGCCAGCCAAGCAGTCCAAATGGGCAGTCTTCTTTTTCTAAAACGCATGTTATTTGGAAAATTTTATCCTTCTAGTAGGTCAAGTCCATGAACTCTCAATCTTGGGATCCTTTACACTTAAGGTTACCTAAGACTGTCATTGACCAGGAAATCTCCCTTCTCTAGCTCAAAGGCTGTTATGCTACCAACTGTCTAGAATAGAGGTTCTTAACCCTTGAATAGATTTCAGGAATGTCTATAAACTTGGATGGGAAAAAAAATCTATCCTTATTTTCACTTAAATTTAGCATATCCTTCAATTATTTAAGAACTTTATTCTAAAAAGGGGTCCATAAATTTCACTAGACTTGACACAAAAATGGTTAAGAACTCCTGACCTTAAAGACTGAATTCCTCCTTCCTTTACACAAAAGGTTAGGGTTCAGGAGACTTTTCCATAAACCTCCATCTCAGGTCAAGGGAAAATGCACATGTCTACCTCTGCCATGTACTTTTGCAGAAAATGGATCAGTGCCTCTGCTACTACTACTACTACTACTACTACTACTACTACTACTACTACTACTACTACTACTA